AGAACCACACAGGAGCACTGGACTGAGCTCCCAAGGTCCCAAGGAGGAGCAGAAGGAGGGAGAACATGAGCAAAGAATTCGGGACCACGAGGCGTGCATCCACCCACTGAGACAGAGGAGCTGATCTACGGGGAGCTCACCAAGGCCAGCTGGACTGTGACCGAAAAAGCAGGGGATAAAACCGGACTCTCTGAACATGGCGAACAATGAGGGCTGATGAGACACCAAGGACAATGGCAGGGGGTTTTGATCCTACTTAATGTGCTGGCTTTGTGGGAGCCTAGCCAGTTTGGATGTTCACCTTCCTAGATATGGACGGAGGGGGGAGGACCTAGGACTTACCACAGGGCAGGGAACCTGGACTGCTCTGTGGACTGGAGAGGGAGGGGGAGAGGAGTGGGGGGAGGGGGAGAAGGGTGGGAGGAGGGGGAGAAGGGTGGGAGGAGGGGAAGGGAAATGGGAGGCTGGGAGGAGGTGGAAACTTGTTTTTTGTTTATGTTTTTTTTTCTTCTTTTCGCAATAAAAAAAAAGAACTGTAAAAAGAAAGAAGTGAGTGGAGCCTCCACCAGTCAGATATGAAAGTGAAGCATAAGTTTCAATTATTAAAATAGTTTGAGTCTTAGATTTGAATAAACTGAATACTGGAAGATTATCAGAAAGGAAGTTCATATGATTTTGGTATACAGAAGCCAATCTTTATCCAAAGAGGATAATTTATAAGATCCCACATAGGTACCTGAAACTGGGAAGTACCCAAACTTATGTATGCTGTTTATTTTTTCCATGTACACAGGGTAATCTGACACATTCACACCATTGCACGTCAAATAAAGTTAAATAAATTATAAAAAAATCTTTAAGAATTTGAAATTAAACTAAGTCCTATACAACTGAAAGCACTGTCTCAAATAAAAATAAAATAAAGTGAAAAAGAGAGTTGACTGTATGCTAAGTGCAGTTACTGATATGTTCTGAAATATGACACCTTCCCTGCCCGCCACCAGGCTGGCCTCGAACTCCCAGGTATCAGCCTGCATCTGCCCCCAAATGCTTTGATTAAAGATGTGCGTCACAATCACCTGGCTTTTATTTATGTTTATTTTCTCGTTGCTTTTCCTAAATGTATGTTTTTGAGACAGTTTTTGATCTTGAATATATAAACAGTTGTGAGCTGCCATGTAGGTGTTCGGAATTGAAACCAATTCCCCTGAAGAACAGTGCTCTTAACCACCAAGTCGTCTCTCCAGTACCCTTTTCTTCTCCTTTCATTTCTTTCCTTTTCTTTTCTTTATTTCCCCCTTACCCAAGACTGGAAGCTAAATGATTATGGTGTTTTTCTTTGCATGTAGAGTGTATTGCCTCAATCTGGAGATATTGATATTAAATTGTGGCCATCTAGAAGCAAGGAGACAGAGAACAAAATGGACCTTGAAAATATGTCTCATGGTGGCTACAATCTTGCTGAGGTCAGCACTCAAGATGGTAACCAGAGCCACCCTCTTAAAAGCTTCCATCTTAGTGCGGTCAACACCCATGCTGTCTGCAAAGGGCCTTCACTAAAATGTTTTTAACTGTGAGCCCCCTCTACCCACCCACCCACAAACACACACACACAGGGACAGACATGGGCACACTGAGAGAAACAAATAAAATTTGAAATTAAACTCAGTGTACGAGTCACAGAACACAGCAACAAACCAAAACACAGATATAGCAAAATGTATAGACATTGTAAGAACTTAACAATAACTAAGGATAATATGAAACAAGTATAGCAGTATATTTTAATAAGTTCTTTAAAACCAATAAATCATTAATTTTAATAACTTTTCAGCTTATTATTTTCAGACAGTGGCTGGCTTCACACAATTGAAATCATGATAAATAAAACGACAAATCAGGCATGACTCCTGCATAACGATGATGGCATTGGAAATGAGTGGAGAAAAAGATAACAGGATGGATCTTACGGGTAAAAAATAAATTGACATACTGAAAGAAAATCTTTGAGAAGTAAGGTATATATAACCTTAAAGTGTTCAAGATTTGTTCAGCTAAAAATCCATATATATGACTTAAGAAAAGGATCTTTGAGAAACAGAGACTTACAAATGTATATGCTTTCATGCACATACCCAGCAAAACCAAGGACAAAGGGGAAAATAATGCAACTCACAGTGTGTGCACAGAAATAATCTTACTAACAAATAGCTCGGCAAAATAGGAAATTAACAAAACTCCATCAGAAAAAAAGAGCAAATGTTATGAGTATATAGGTCATAGAAAAAACAAATGACACCTCTATCTGTGAGAAGCATATTCTTCCTCATAAAAAGAGAAACGCAAGCTGAAAGTACACTGACAGATCACCCTCCTACCATACTGACAAATGGGAACGTTTCACAGTAATGGTGATAAAGCTGGATGGAAATGTAGCTTCTTTTTTGATCCTGAATCAAAGGTAAATTATATATAGCTGACAAATGGTGATCTGGTGAGATCTGTAAAAAAAAATCACAGGTGCATACATATGCAGGCAAGATTTTTTTTTTGTGTGTGTGTGTGTGTGTGTATCTGTGTCCAGTGATCCAGGAACTCACTTCTCATAATTTATCTTACAGATTCATGCTTATTGATGCAAAAAGAGTAAATCTTAGGAAACTCAGTAGAATGGCCCATCTACAAAATTCTATACAGTCATTTCGAGGCTTGGTATTTCCTTAGTGTTCACGTTCTATCCAGTGAATTCCAGCACAGGTCCCACTTACTGCTGAATGCCACAAAACTACCTCCTCACAATCGCGCCGTCATTCCCTCAACGTCTAACTTCTGGTATAACTAAATATATATAAAAAGTCTCCATGCACTTACGTTTCCTCCATTTTGTAAAACTACCTGGTGATATCCATTTGATTTTCTTACTCCTCTAATGATATGCTACAGCTTCATTATATGCAATAATAAAGCTAGAAGGAAAATGTCATTAAGTCAAATTTTGCTTTTTGGGCAACTGGATATAGCTGGCCTTCCATACATCACTCTATCTAATACAGATAGAAAAGAGCACTAAATCAAAAGAGCCACTGTAGACTAAAAGATACTTCTTTCAGTCTCAAGACTCACTGTTATCTTTCTACTACCCCATCTTTTTTTTTGCCCAAATAGTCCACTCTTTTTATTCAAGTTAATAGCCTCAGATGTTCCATTACAATAATACGCTTGATTTACATAGCAAGTAAAATTGATTTCATAGTTTTTTGTTTTTCAGATTATTTATTTATTTATTTTGAGAATTTAAAATAATTTATTTATCTTGCCAAAATGGAATTTTATGTTGTACATGTACATTATTACCATTATTATGTAAATGCTCATGTTCTTCTAGAACAGAGGAAAAGCCAATAATTTATCACGTGAGCATTTTCAAATGTAAGATATCCAAGCAAATTTGTGTTTTTGTAAATGAGTAAGAGTATTTTTATGTTGATTTAGAGTTAATACTAATTTAAAAAAGTTAACAAAGAATGATTACTGGAATGAAGTACAACATTAAACGTGTTTTGTACAATTACTACAATATAAGCTGAATCGCCTACAATATTTAATTCTAAAAAAAAAGAATCTACTACCCCATCTTAACATACACATAAAGATGCTACCCTTACTCACGAGGGTGTGTGTGTGTGTGTGAGAGAGAGAGAGAGAGAGAGAGAGAGAGAGAGAGAGAGAGAGGGAGAGAGAGAGAGAGAGAGAGAGAGAGAGAGAGAGAGAGAGAGATTTTTCTGTTCCTCTAGAGAAGCCTAACTAACCTACATGGTCTATGATAGTGATAACGGAGCTTTAACACTCTGATAGATAGAGTCCAGCTATTGACCCTCCCCCACCAGCAGCTGCAACTGATCTAGGGAGATGGCAGAGTACACAGAAAGTTAGGAGGCTGATTCAAAGTGGTAGTCAACAGCAGCCTCCAGGAGACCATTATCCACGACACATCTCTTTTAGAGTTATCCACACTTTTATAATCAATCCCTTACTCATGCTCAGTTAGCAAACCCAATAAAGTCATTGTCAGCAATTTGGAATTTGGCTAAATCCTACTTTGGTCTGTTATTGGTGCCCACCTGGGGTGAGAAGAAGTTTATTTGCCTCTCCCCAGGAGAAGTTTAATGTAACAATTCTAAAGGCCGTATACAACAAATAACGTCTTCAAAAAACAATCTGAATTTGGTAGTAATGTCCAAATTACAAAAACAAACACACAAAAGCCCTCACTAAGGTGAAGAGCCACCCTTCCTGAATAAGTGTGGCTACCACTATTCCCCCAAAGAGCATCTCACCACAGCAAATGAGGCACATCATAGAAAACTTCAACTGGTCAGAGGGATCAAGGGAGGAAATTAGTGAATTGTGGGGAGCCCAGCCCTACATCACCATTCCTGCATCTATGGCTCATGGGACATCACAGAAGAGGGGATGTAAAGAGTCTAGGAGCCAGAATACCAAGAAGTTTGCTGTGAAACAGTCAAGACAGCCATAATATCAGTATGGGACAATTTTATGGGGTCCCAGTCCTTTACAAAGAACTACTGGCCTCTCCCAGGGATGAACCCCCCTGTTAGCTGTTTGGTGAGAGTGGTCCGTCCTGAAACCATATGCATAGAAATAACAGAAACAGATTCAGTAAGTTGCATGTATGTTTGTGTGCACATACACAGACATACATATGTATGCATAAAGAAAAGTGGCCATCAACTTTGGAATTTGGGGCTATGGGAGGAGCTTGAGGGAGGAAAAACAAGAGAAAAAGAAATGCAATCTATTTCGATTAAAAACATTTACAAAACAAATTCTATGATATATAAAGTGTACAGAAAACAATTGTCTCTTTAATTCTGCTGTTTGGTTTAAGCAGTAATTTCTTATTACAATTCAGTGAGCTTTTAGTTGGACTGGCAGTTTGTTTGACATTTATGGTGGTTGGTTGCTATGGAAACAAATACCTTTTGTCCCCGAGGTCCTGGAGGTCCTTCTGGACCTGGAAATCCTGGCAGACCTGGATGGCCTTCCAAACCTGGAAATCCTCGTTCTCCCTATAATTGAACATATAAAAGAATGTAAAGGAAAGTCATTTGTGAACTTTTAAATACAAGCATAGTTGAATTTCAGAAAGTTCAAATGACTGTCATATGAATGTAACATAATATACTGATACTATATGTCCACAGTATCTACTAATATGGACAAATCCAGAAGACGTGAGCAGAAAAACATAAATCATCCAAAATGTATATAACATATAGTAAATGTAATCTCTTTACTACTTGAAGAATTAAACAGTATCAGACATAAAGTGAGGATATAATAGCAAGAGTTTTAACCTCAAGTCAATTATAAAGAAGAGGGAAAAAATAAGATTTTCACCATTTTAAGAGCTATATTATCTCAGATTATTGGATGGTCTGTTACTAGCAGAACTAGGACTAAAACTCTGATCAAACATTCCACTCAGATAGAAAAATAACAAGGAAAAAAATCTAGATTCAGTCTGTTTCCCTAAGTACAAAACAGCTGCATGTTTAGATCTCAGCTGGTATTTAGAAAACAGCTCTGTCAAAAGCAATGAGTATGCCATGTGCACAGCAATGGATATTTTCAAAGCAAAAGTGCTATCTGGGTTAGAGGTATAAAGAAGAATAAAGCAAAGACTGAAAATAGAGGATGCTGGCTAGCAGGGTGGCTAGGCAAGTAAAGGCACCTGCCACCAGGACTAATGATCTGACTGAGTTCAATCTCCAGGAGCCATAGAGTGGAAAGAAAGTCAACTCCAGAAAGTTGTCATCTGACCTCCACTGAGACACTGTGGCATGCACGTGTGCACATACACAAACACAAATTTAAAAATTAATTTTTAAAAATGATATGCATTTTTAATTGAAATTGAATTACATCATTTATATCCTTCCCTTTTTTCCCTCCAACTTCTATCTGGTGCCCACCTTTCAACCCTCTCATACCCTCCACTCTCAAATTGATAGGCTCTTTTTCTCTAATGATTTTTGTTATATACATATATGTATATGTATGCACATGCAAAATTTTTAAGGGAGGATGACTTAATTATGTTTGTATCAATTAAGATACAAACATACCTTTTTAATGTTATATCCTGAAATTCTCTCACATTATCACAGGACTCAAGAAAAGCAGATAATATATAGTAGCAAAAAGAATTAGAAGAGCAATTCTGAGACTTTCAAAGGTAGAATATTTGCTAAAGTATATATATATATATATATATATATATATATATATATTTCCTGTGCAAGAATGAGCTAAATGTAGGGTTTTCCAACTAATTTATAAAATGAATAATAAGAAACGTTAAAGGTAGTTGTGTGCCTACCTTTGCTTCCTAGGTATTCATTTGCTCCTTTTAAACCATTATAGATTTGACTATAATTTTCACGCATTCATAGACTGAACATGAAATGGTATGCCTATTTCTGAAAGTCAAACTGTAAAACATTTTTAAAAAAATCAAAAAGTAAAAATAATCCTGACTTATCCTGAATGCCTATGTTTGGAGTTTTAAAAATTCTTTGTCAAGTAGTATTTTTCACCCTTTGTTATCTTTCAAATATTAGTATTACTCTAGATTGTGCCATTGACTTCTCTCTTTCCCTGGGAAGTCGAAAACAGTAAAGGTAAGTTCTTATTAGCAAATCTTAAGGATTTCCACTGGCACTTCAAGCTCAATGTAAAAATAGTTTGCTTGTCTTGAGTGTTTTTCCTTTGCCAGATTCTTTAAACTCCTTCCAAGTTTTACTTCACTTGCCACTCTCCATGACAAGACAAAGTAAAATTGTTATTCCCATTTTATGTGTGAATTCATGACAAAGAGTTTTCTAATGTTTCCTAATGTAAACTTGATATATCGAACACCCCATTGTCTTTCTACCACATCTGCTCATCTGCTTCGGTCAGATATTATGCTGGACACCACCTTCTCCGTTAGCCCTGCATGGAAACCATCATGGCTTCTTCAACTTTGGATTCTTAGTGTCCAATAGAACAAATATTCAGGAAACAATCTATTCAATAAATGAACTTCCTTAATGGGTTACACAAAATTTTTAGCAAATATTTTTAATTCAAATCCAGAAAAAGGTAAAAATTCAGATTTTGGCAAATTATACAAAAGGAAACCATTTTGTGACAGTCTAATTCATTTTTCGTGCAGTGATATCAAACCTCCAGCTTCACAAACACAAGCCAAGCACTCTACCACAGAGCACAACCCAGCCCAGCAGTTTAAAAAGGTTAATTGACTGATTAACCGTGACTATGAGGCTTTGTAAGCATTTAGCCATCCTTCATCTTGCAGACTGAGAGAACTAAGCAGTAATAACGACATACATGGAAATTCACTATATGCTTCTTTTCTTTCAAAAGATGATCCCTTTCACTTTCTTCCTTCCCTTGTGATCCCAAATGAACCCCTTTTAATATTTTGACACTATAGAAAGAATTCTTGTTGCAAAGCTACTCCCTTAAACATGTTCCCCACATAAGTGTTATGTAGAACAGCATTCAGCAACTCTTAATAGCTGTTCTGTTAGGAGGCAGTGTGTTACAGGGCAGAATGGGACTTGAAAATAAGATTCAATAAAATAAATAAATGAACTTATAGCCACCAGGACCTTTAACACCTCTTATTATGCGAATGAATACTTCTATAACTAACTGGGGTGTTCACTAAAGATGCGGTCTCTAACTTTTCCTCAGATATAATTAGCGATATCCAGTCATTTTACTCATTTAAAGAAGTTTATTGAGTTACAAAGAAGGAAGAGTAATAATGGAAGATCTCTCTCTGTCTGCTAGTACAATTCTGCAATTCATTATCCTATTTTAAATTTCTAATTTTGATATCCGTTACTGACATACAAGGCTGGAAGAAAAAAAACCTCAAGTTAAATGTCATCTGAGGCATATTCGGACTGGACTAAGAGCTAGGATTTCTTCTTACTAATATTATTAAATTTTTAAAAATCCCTGTAAGGCTGGCTATGATGCCTCACACCTTCAGTCTCAGGACTTGAGAGGCAGAGCATTGTTATTTGTGAATTCAAGGTTATCCTGACCCACTTAGTGAGCTCCAAGCCAGCTTGGACTACATAAAGAGACTCTATTTTAAAACAAAACAAACCCAATTCACTGGTAAAGTAAAAGGTTTCTAGAAAGGATTTTCATCTATATTTCATTTTGTTGATTCTCCCCAATTCCTACTCCCTGTTTTCTTCTCATTTACTTGTCCTTTCCCCTGCTGCCCCCTAAGATTTTTGGGTCAATGTGCAATAGCTATTGCAGGTTTTGTTATTGTCTGGGGTTTTTACTTTTAGGAACCAGGGATGTGTCACAGTTGGAGACTGTTTGCTTATCTTGTGCAAAGCTCTGAATACAATTCCCAGCAAAAACAAAACAAAAACAAACAAAGAAAAAAACTAAAATTTAACAGAACTTCTATGTATGAAGCCTAAAATATTTATTATATGGTGTCTTATGGAGGACATTTGCTGATCCTACATACAGTCTCATCTTTATAAGTTCCCCTGTAATGCAGTAGAATTCATTGTATTTATTTGTGTGCTGACAAAAGCTTAAATCCATTCATAAACAGGATTTGATTGTTTTACTGAGTACATACCTTTTCCCCCTTTATACCACTGCACTCACATTTTGATCCAGGAGAACATCCGTGGCAGGCCTACAGGAGGAGAAGGAGAAATCATTGAATACAAACTTAAAAGCAAATATGACTTAGAACTTAAGTGAATTCACTAATTCAGACTTGTAGACTCAATACAAGAAAAAAATTTGAAAGGATATATATAAATGGCAATGGTATCTTATATATATTCAAGCTTTTGTTATATGCACTTCCCTTTCAACTTCCTTTTTAACAATGATCAAATGAAAGTTCTATAATTTTAAGCCTCTGTGGCTTCTAATTCAGTTCCTGCCTCCAGGTTCCTGCCTTGAGTTCCTGTTCGGACTTCCCTCAATGATTGACAGTGATTGGGTCATGAAATCAACATAAACCCACTCCTCTGCAAGTTGCTTTTGGCCACGGTATTTATCATAATAATATAAGGCATATTAGTTATACAATCATTACTACTTTACATGGGTACTTAGAATACACTGTTTTCGGGATTACATGTTAACTACATTTTAACTCTAAGAGTTTCATATAGGCTTAATCATCCTTCAAATGAGAAGTGTTACTATTGAAGACAAGAAAACTTGTTAGACACAAAGATATAAATATAAATAAACTCATACAAAACAGTAAGTTTAGGAACAGAAGCTAACACAAGATACCTAATTCTGGCTTATGCAAAGATGAATTATTGATTCTAAACTATGAATTTATGAAATTTAGAAACCACACATTTACAAATTCTTGAGAAAAGAATAGTCAACAGTCATAACACCTGGGGTAGACTGTGCATACTGTCAACAGTCATAACACCTGGGTTAGACTGTGCATACTGTCAACAGTCATAACACCTGGGTTAGACTGTGCATACTGTCAACAGTCATAACACCTGGGTGAGACTGTGCATACTGTCAACAGTCATAACACCTGGGTTAGATTGTGCATACTGTCAACAGTCATAACACCTGGGTTAGACTGTGCATACTGTCAACAGTCATAACACCTGGGTTAGACTGTGCATACTGTCAACAGTCATAACACCTGGGTTAGATTGTGCATACTGTCAACAGTCATAACACCTGGGTTAGACTGTGCATACTGTCAACAGTCATAACACCTGGGTTAGACTGTGCATACTGTCAACAGTCATAACACCTGGGTTAGACTGTGCATACTGTCAACAGTTAATTGCATCATCACAGAGGAACAAAGAGTAATGCTCATGCACAATGGCTACTAACGTGAGACTAATGTTTGACATCAGGAAGTGGATCTACAATTAAAGTAGCATGCACATGAGATTTTGTTATAAATAAAATTACATCTTTTTGCATTTTCAGACATTTGAATCAAAAGATCGTCCCCAAAATACAGATTCCAATACTAAAAATAATGCAAAACCAGCCTAATAGAATTCTTTTACTAAAAACAAAACAAAATTAATTCCGTTGCACATATACTTTTCCTTCCAAATATCTAACAATAGTACATAACTCTTAAAGTATAATTTATGAAGAAATAAAATTTTATATTCTTGTATATGCAATGTTTCTCAAGATTAATGATTTCATCATATTAAATATCTTTACCAACTAACATGAAGTATATTTTAAAGATAATTCTCCCTAAAACACTTAGGAATATAGAAAATTTGTTTGAATTTAATTTAAAATTTTAATTATAATCTATATATACCAAATAGGCTATAAAAACGACTCTGTTACTCATGGGATTTGAAAAAAAAGACCACCATAAAAGCCAACTCATTGTAAAACACACACCAACCACTAGGTGGCACTTTCCATGCAGTTATTAATGGAACGCCACAAGGGAATGGCCCTAATCAGACATCTCATTAGGTGGAAGAGCTTTCCATTTTTAAGCAGTAGCTATTCATATCGACAAGGTGCCTAATAAATACAAAACACAATGGTATATCTATGACTGGCACAAAATATGGAGACCTGAGTGCTTGCTGCCTTTAAGAAATTTGCAATCTAGTTTTTAAGAATCTTGCCATAAACAAATGAAAATGTAACTAAAACTAAGAGGAATGATGCTACAGCAGTAAAAAAGTGAAAAAGTAATAACACTCAAGAAATATTCCCCGATGTTTCTGTAGCAAGTGAATCGTTCTGAGACCATTGATAAGTTGACTCCACACTCTAGGGCTTGTTTCTCCTTTATAAAAAGCCAGTCATGGATAGTACCATTTCACTCCGTAGATTCACCAAGTAAAAGAAAGTGACTGGTATCCATGGTTATGAGAGTTAATAAAGCTAGTTGCCTTGAGGCTGAGAATTATTAATATCACGTGGAAGGTAGGCAGAAAATCTTTCTAAACTAGGAAAAAATCATTACAGCAAGCAATATGATTAAAGACAAATTTGGGTGAGGCAAATAGTGAGATAAAAGAACCATTGCGTATCTCAGTTTAAAAGACTTTGTAAGTCCACACGAAAAGTATGATAGGAAAGTGTGGTTGGTTAGCTTCTTGATGAGACAGTTTACAGCCCAGACAAGCATGAACTGGCACTGCTCTCACATCAGCCTCCCAAGTGGTAGAAAGGCAGCAGGGCCATCAATCCTAGTTTCATCTTCTCAATACTGAGGGGGAGAGCTTGTCTCTACAAGAGCACAGATGATTGTTAATGCATGAAAATTACTAATCTATAGTAATGTTTTTAGTTTTTATTCTGTGAGAAAAATATCAAAATAAAAATCAAGGAAGGTTTCTATTAGCCCATGTTAAAATACATAATAAAATTATATGTAACTATAATAATTAAAACAGTATGGAACTGCTCCAAGATTTATTGTTCAAAAATAATTAATCATTAAGTATATGGTATTAAGCATAGAAGATAATACTTTTAGATCTTAAAATATAACAATAAAAACATAGATTAGAATAGTACCTGAAATGTTATGGGCATTTTTGTCCTTTGCAGATTGAAACATTTGTGTATAGATAATGAGATATCTTGAGGGTAAGACCCAAGTCTAAACATAGAGTGCATTTTCTATTTCTTATATACCTCCAACACCCTCCCAAGCAGAGCTACCAAATGGGAGCCAATGTTCAAATATTAGTCTGTGGGGGGCATTTATCACTCAAGCCACTACTTCTAGACATGGGATAAAGGGAAATCAGATTATCTTTTCACGTTAAGATTTGGAATTAGGAACCTCAGCTAAGATAGAACATGTGTCATTTGTCTTTCTACCTTTGTTATCTCATTCAATATGATCTTTCCTAGTTCTATCCATTTATCTGAAAATGATTCATGATTTCATTTTTATCTATAACTGAATAGTTTTCCATAGTAGATATGTACCACATTTTCATTATTTTTTTTTTAGCTATTTTGAATACAGCAAAAATGAACACAACTGAGCAAGTATCTGTGGAATAAGATATTGGTTCACTTGACCACATGCCAAGGAGTGGTATTTCTGAGTCATAGGCTAGATTTATTTTTACATTTTTCATGATTCTCCACACTGATTTCCAGAGTGACTGGACCAATTTGCAACCCCACCAGCAGTGAGTAAGTGTTCTCCCCTCCAATTCGATTCAGCATTTGTTGTCAGTTGTTTTGTTGATCTTTATCACTCTGACTGGGGTAAGGCAAAATTTCAGCTTTCTTTTGACCTCTTTCCCCCATTGGCTAGGTACAATGGGAATTTTTTGAAATGTTTCACTGCTATTTGGTTTGTCCTTTGAGACCTCTCTTTTCAGGTCGGGCCCATTTTTGAAAGGGTCATATTTGTTTGTTTGACTGTTTATTTTTTGAGGTCTTTGTATATTCTGAATATTCAGCTTTTGTCAGACGTGCAGCTGGAAAAGAGTCTCTCCCACTCTGTGAGCTTCCTCTTCACCTGGTTGATTGTTTCTTTAGCTGTGCAGAAGTTCCAGTTATCATTTTTTGGGCTTTAATTCTTGGGTAAATGGAGTCTTACCCAAGGAGGTCCTTTCTTATACCCATATCACATAGGATAGTTTCTGCATTTTCTGCTAACAGTTTCAGTGTTCCAAATTTCAAGATGAGGTTAGTGATCCATTTGGCATTAGTTTTTGAATATGAAGATAAACACAGATCTAATTTCATTCTGCACGTGACATTCAGGTTTTATTTATTAAGAGTACAATTTTATTTGGAATCTTCTAGATTAAAACTTAATTACAACATGTTTCCCTTCTCTTTTCTCGCTCCAAACTATCCCATATACTCCTCCCTACTCTCCCTAAAATTCACGGACATATACTTTTCCCATCGCTGTTGGTGGAAGATGATTTTCTTCAGCTTATATTTTTGGCATCTCTGACAAATATAAAGTGTTTAAAATCTATCAATTTAATTTTGTTCCATTGGTCTACACATCTCTTTTTGTCAGGACACTATTGTTTTAATTGCAAAGGTTCTGTGATATATCTTGAGATCTGGAATGGTATTCTTTCCAGCACTGTTCTTTTTGTCCAGGATTGTATTTGGATATCCTGGGTCTTTTATGACTCCATATGAATGTTAAGATTTTTTTCTTCAAATGGGAAACATATTGAAAGGTAAAATTATAAAAAATTAAAAGAAAACATTGGATTCTTGATTTTTGCTTAGTCAGTTCCACTTAGAAATTCATCTAAAGGGCAAGAGAGGTGGCTAAACAGTTAAATGAACTTTCTGCTTTTGAAGAGGTTCAGAGTTTAGGTGCCAGCACCCATGTCAGAGGCTCACAACCACCTGGAATTTCAAACTATTCCATTCTTGGGCATATATCCAAGAGAAGTAGAATAATGTCTGTAAAAACATCTTATATGTGACTATTCATAACATCATTACAAATAATATTTGAAAGGATAAAAAACAACCCAAACATCCATCAAGGTGAACTTATTAAATAATATGTAGTATACAGTCAATAAAATATCATTTGACAAGGAAGAGGAGGGAGGTATTGTCTCATGCTACAACACTCATGAACTTTGGAAACATGGTATTAAGTAAAAGAAAACAAATACAGAATTTCACATTGGCATGAGTTTA